TATGAAAGACATTAGAAAGAAGGAAATCGTTTTTTAGTTTTAAAAACTTCTTTTTTTTTTGCTTTTTTTTTAAAAAATTATTTAAGGAAAGATTTCTAAAGAAAGAAAATATTTTTGGATTTTTGAAAATCGGGGTCGGAACCGATGAGGTTTGCCTACGTATCTCACATCCGGTGAGAATCAGACCCGCGTAGTTCGGTCAGATTTGCCAAAATCAAAACTATTTTGACCAACAATTTTTCTTTCTATGTTTTCAAATATTTTCCCCTTTTTTTTTCATTTATCAAAAATCCGGCAGCATTTCGGTATTGTTTGGGCATTTGGTTTTTCACAACAAATAGACATCCTCACCTAGTTCTAACACTGCTTATTTTCATAATTCACTCATTTAGACAAGCTGGTCAACATAGAAAGCCGAGCAAATAAATGCGCAAGTAGCACGTAAGATGCATCAGGATGGTCAATTCATATTTCAGGTCACCTGTCCTAGACGGACCCAACCCCTGTGTTGAGTCCCCTAAGTCAAATGCATATGATGCAAACAAGCGTCCTACTAGGGATCCGGCATGAGGTTTTGTTCTTCTAGTTTTAAACCCTAGGTTTATTGGTCTAGACCTGGCTTACCCGAGTGGACAACTCGAGCCGAGGGGGAGGCAGCGTACCGGGGATACAGAAGCTCCGCCAGCTTAGCAACTTATCCAAACCTCGTTCTAAATTGGGAAAGACTCTAAACAGAAGAGAAGCTACACGAAGTGCACCCTTCTCCATGATGTAGAAGACTCAGAGAGAGGAAGGGATTCGCGAGAGTTTATACATAATTTCAACAAATATCAAAGCAGTAAAACATTTAGCACATACAGCATGGAACATGTAGAAAAATCAGATAAAGCCAAATATAACAATTGTACTAAGTTCGAATTCTTGAACCCTGAATCGAAATTCTGGGGTTCGTTTCCCCAGCAGAGTCGCCAGAGCTGTCACACCTCCTTTATACACACCTACCCCGAAGGATAATGTATAAGGGAGTTTTTCCATTTAAAGTGACATTATTCTAAATGGGATTATTTATTTGTTTTTAGAGTCGCCACTTGGGATAGGATTGACTTTTGGTGTCCCAAGTCACCGGTTTAATTTGAATCCCAAATCGAGGAAAATTTCGACTTCCCAATTGGAGTCTGCGAACCAGAAATTCTGAATAAGGAATTCTGTTGACCCGAGGGAAGGTGTTAGGCACCCCCGGATCCCGTGGTTCTAACACGGTCGCTTAAATTATTATAAATGGCTAAAAATCTGGTTTTTATACATGTTCAAACCTATAGTGCAATTTTATAAATTTGTTTAACCGCTTTTAATTGGTTTTTTATGAAAGTGAACGCCGTTTAAGAGCGTGTTTTTGGATCACGTCACATGAAATGCACCCGGATCCTCGACACCTCTTATTCAACGTTTTGGGATTTGGATTTGGGTCGCATGAAATGCACACCCGTATTTAAGAAGGTAAAATTATTAAAGGCGCACCTAAAATGGCTAGCATCTTATTTACTTTGCGGGAAACCATGAAAATTCGCTAAATGGCATGTCCCGGATTTCTAAAATATTTTTTATAAAGCATTTAATGAGGGCCCCGCAATTTATGCATTTTATTTGGCGAGGCTCATCTCATTTAATTATTTTAAGGCCAACCTAGAGTGAGCTAAGATTTTCTATTTATATTTGTCTCTAAAAGGGCCTAATTGATTAGTGTTATTAATTACTATTAAAAGCATTCAAGGAGTTCGGGTCTTAAGATCAAGTCCAAACTTAAACAAGATGGAAACCCCTTAATTTAAATTTGCTACTTATCTTAGAAGGCCCTAAATTATTATTACTAATTACGGCTTATATTCAAAATATAGGATCCAAGCTTGGGAATCACGTGCATGGGCCGAAGACCCAGCTGATGCGGGTCGAGATGATAGTAGGACCAAAATATACATAGCCCAAGCACTTATGACAGATTCAAGAAAACAGCGATAATGGAAATTGGGCCCTAGTTGGGGCTTGGTTTGGCGATTTGGTCAATATGAACCCAAAACTCAGTAAAATAAGCAGAACTTCATAACATATAGAATCTACTTATCAAATTATGAATTAACCCCCTTTGATATTAGCTAGCTAACACAAATTCAGAATTTTGGTATGCAGTTTTCACTCCAGGTCTGTTAGGGCTGCTGGGCATAAATGCATTAATTATTTGGCAACATGCCCAGCACGACTAATGATAGGAATTTCAAATAGAACCTGTAATTTGGAGTATTATTGAGCTAGGGACTCATCAATTGAATCACAGCTCCTCAAAACGCATTCAAACCTCACAAATATCCTAATCTAGAGACAGATACGTCAAGCAAACACAAATCTAAAGACCACCTATTAGTTGCTGGAAAATTAAACTGCTCTAAAATGGAGTAATGTAACAGGATCTAGGCAATACATGCCATTAACAGTCCCAAAAGAGTTAGGGCAGTAAAATCCAATAGCCATGTCAAATATACATCAACAATACACTTAAAATGCATCTACAGTGTTTTGGATTATGCTAAAAACTAAGTTATTCGCATTCAGCTAAATCAGTCTCAAGAGGTTGCAATTGTCAAATCTCCAACTTCAAACCAAGCATTGTGACAATAGTTCAAGAGCTGGTACCTGATTACAGCAAAGTCACAATAGAAATGAGTGGAAAATTCGAGGTTAAGTAGCAGCAGCAGTAAACGATAATCAGCAACGAAATCAACAACAACACGGATCACGAACAGCCAGAAACTCAAGGAAAGAGAAGCAGGATGCAATCGACTTCAAAGGAGCTTCAATTAACTAAATATACCAAATGGATTTGAAAGCCAGTTTGAAGAACCAATGTAGTTAAACCAAAACAGATCTGGAAAGGATTTTACGCTACATTTTTGTTGATTCTTTTTTCCAGGACTTTTTTTCTAGGATCTAATGTTTTGTATCTAAACCCTCTATTTCTACCAGATGTTTTTGGATTTTTTCAGTAGTTTTTTTTTTCAGCAGTCTTGGATTTTTTTTTTTAGATTTTCCCTCTTGGGAATTTCCCAGATTCTTCAACTTGTTCAACAAGGCAATAGGCATGCCTTTTTATAGGCAAAGCCTAGGGCTGCCTTCAGATTGTTATTTACACTTTTAGTCCCTCTTTTATTTCAGTTTTAATCACTTAGTCCTCTATTTTCTGACTTGTTGCTCAAGTTACACCCCCTAAACTACTGAAATTCTGACTAAAAACCCTCCTCTAGAAGATTCTAGGAGGTTCTAGTTTAGTTACCACAATGTCCTTTCTATTTAGGAACTACCTATACTACCCTTACATTAGTTCTGAAATTACCAACACATATCAACTAACCCAGCGCCCTTGGTCTCAATTTACCATAGTTAGTCAATGTCAGCTATGACAAAGCTCAAAATTAGAATTCATCAATATAGCTAATCGAAACTGAATTTCAACTCTAATTAATACGACTCCTAAGATTAAAAGGATCATTAAGCTGATAAAACAGTAAATTGTTAAACAATTAGGAATCCAGCCAAGCAAACTACAACACTAAATCATCAATATGTCAAACAATCATGAATTCAACAGGTAACGATTAACCAATGGCACTAACTCATGAATTTTAAAATTACCATTAGTAAAAACAGAGGAACCAAAATTTAATCGGCAAAACTATCAATGCCAATTACTGCCAGAAAAGAAAGAAGAGAAAGAGAATAAGGAAAAGATGAACGAGTTAACAGAAATAACGGAAAAACATTCGAACTAACTGAAGCAATAGGAGAAAACTCACCTATGCAAGGTCGAACGGGACTGGAACCTCGATTCGAGCCTCGGAACAATGTTAAGCATTTGTTCTTCTCAAAGAACAAACGAAACATTGTCTCGTGACTCGAATCCAATACTGGACTCAAGAAATCAGGCAAAATTGATCAAAACGAATTTCTAGGGTTCTGCCAGCTCTGAGATTCAAGATTCGAGCCGCTCCGATGATGTTTGAAGGGAACCAATGAGGGATTCAAGAAGAGGGTGACCAGGAGAGTATAGGGTATATTTTTGGGGTCGTTTGGGTGGCGGCGCCGCTGTGGGCAGTGGTGGCGACGCCTAGGGTTTAGAGGATTTGGGATGTTTGGCCGGGAGTTGAGGGAAATTGTGTTGGTGGTTGGAAAGAGGAGAGTGAGGTGGTTCTATGGTGTATTTTTGGACGGAAAAGGAGCATCACCGCCGGTGGCGGTGATTTTCGGCCGGCGGCGCTAGGGCGAAGGGCGGCGGAGACGGTGGTGATAAAAAATGAGTCTGAGACGATGATGAGAGGGGGGGGGGTAGGGGATCCGACAATTTTATATTAATTTTGACCTAGTTCCCAGCCGTTGGATCAAGGATCCTCGACGGCTGGGATTGCTTGACGACAAAACGTCGTCGTTTCACTTAAGGGGGGGAAGGCCGGGTTTAGACGGGGTTTGGGCCTGGTCTGGGCAACAATTGGTATTGGGCTTGGGGTGAATTTGGCCCAATTTTGGGGTCTTTAAAAAGGAAACCCCAATTCTTTTAATTTCTTTCATTTTCTCTTTTTTTCTTTTTTTTTTTCAGATTTTTGTCAAATACAAAATTAAGCTAAAAAGACCTGATTTAATTCTAAAACTATCCAAAAATTAATTAATTCCTGATTTAAAGAAAACTATGACAAATTCGGAAATTAAAAGGTAAAATGCAAGAAGAGCTATTTTTGGTATTTTCTTTCCTTAATTATATATTCATCCTAAAATGTAGAAAATTAGGTCCTAAATGCAAATGCACTATTTTTGTATTTTCTATAAATTAACCATGCACACAAAAATGCAAGCAAACATGAAAATTATGCAATTAATTCCTAAAAAATCAAATAATAAAAGAAAAATCCTAATTTCAAGAATTCTGTAGGAGCAATTCAAGCGAGGCAAAAATCACGTGCTCACACACTCGTGTTAAGAAGTTGCTCGTCCACCTCCACAACAGATATCATCGAGAGCTCCTCATAGTGGCTGGGAAGTTGGATTGCTTTGTAGACATTAAATACTGCTTCCAAGTCATCCACTCTCAAAATCATTTTTCCATCTCTCACTTTAATAATTGCATCACCAGTAGCCAAGAGAGGCCGCCCCAATATTATTGGAACCAGTTCATCAGCCTCATAATCTAATATAATAAAGTCCGCAGGGAATATGAACTTCCCAATTTGCAGTAATACATCTTCAATCACTCCCTCAGGGTGTGCTATAGACCTATCAACCAGCTGCAACATCATAGTAGTTGGTCTTGGAGCTCCCAGACCCAATTGCTTGAACAAGGATAAGGGCATCATATTTATGCTCGCCCCCAAATCGCAAAGAGCACGACCCACATCAATATTACCAATTCGCACAGGGATGGTGAAGCTACCAGGATCCTTAAGCTTTTGAGGGAGCTTGTTCTGGACCCTTGGAATGCACTCCTCAGTAAGTGCAACTGTCTCAAATTCAGTCAATCTTCTCTTGTGAGCCACTATATCTTTTATGTACTTAGCATACTTTAGAATTTCACGAAGTACATCCACCAGTGGAATATTTAATTGAACCTAGCTCAACATAGAGAGAAATTTGCTAAACATGCGATCATAATTCTTTTTCTGCAATTTCTGAGGAAAAGGTGGTGGTGGTCTTGCAGCCTCCACTGGCTCTGAAGTTGCATCCTTTTTCTTTGATTCATGTGTCGCCTTAGGAATCAACTCCCCCTCAGGTATAGGCTTGTCTTTTCTCTTCTTTGGCACTTCCTCTAGTTCCCTCCCGTTTCTGAGTGTAACTCCATTATCTTGAGGGTTCTTCTCTGTATCACTGGGGAGAGCTCCTGCAGGTCTAGTATTTTGATTTGTTGCTAACTGCCCCATTTGCCTCTCAAGATTTCTGAAATCGGTCCTGAGCTGTTGATTGTCAAGCAACAATTTCTTTAGCAAATCATTTGTACTCTTTTCCATTTGTTGGGGTGGCTTCTGAGGTTGATTGAAATTTCCTTGGGGTCCATAATGATTCTGATTCGGCTGATTTCCACCCCATGAGAAGTTGGGATGATTCTTCCAATTTGGATTGTAAGTGTTCCTATATTGTGCATGCTGATTCATTGGACCTCTGCTCTGTTGCCCCATATAGTATATAGATTCAGGATTCGTGGGGCACATGTCACTCATATGATTGTCGCCACATAGTTCGCAGCAAATAGACATTTGTTGTACATGTTGCATCGGTTGTGTTTGTTGCATTGTCATTCTATTCATCTGATTTGCCAATTTTGCTATATCAGCTCTCATGGCTGAGAAGTCATCAAGCTCAATCAACCCGGCTGCTTTCTGTTTAATTGCCCTTCGTGAATCACCATCACCTTGCCAATTATGATCATTAGCAGTGAAGTTATTTAGCAAGAGTTGGATTTCACTGTACGGTCTAGCCATGCAACTACCCCCACAAGCTGAATCAAGATTCATCTTTGATGCATCATCTAGCCCATCAACAAAAGTGTGACCCAATACCTCATCAGTCTGACAATGATGTGGGCAGTCCCTAAGTAGCTTCTTGTATCTTTCCCACGCTTGACGAAGTATCTCGCCATCTCGTTGTTCGAACCCAAGAATTTGACTCCTCAATGACTTTGTCTTCTTAGTGGGAAAAAACATGATTAAGAATTTCCTTGTAAGATCATCCCAAGTACGGATTGAGTTCGCGGGTTCCTTTTGCAACCATTCCTTAGCTTCCCCGAGCAATGACAAGGGGAAAAGTGTCAGCCTGACATAGTCCTTGGAAACGTTCGGATAATTGTAAGTGTCCGTAATTTCCAAGAAATTCTGAATGTGCCTCTGCGGATCTTCATGAGATAGACCCACATATTGCCCGGTGGACTGAATCAGCTGCACCATGTACTGTTTGAGCTCAAAATGCCATGTGATATCAGGCTTCACAATAGCCTGAGTCATATTAGCAAGACTGGGCCTTGCGGCTTCAATCACCGCACGCTCTTCGTTACCTGCAATCTCTATTGGCTGTGGTTGAACTACGATGTCCAACTCTCCTTCTATTCTAGTTCTAGCTTCGACTTCCCTCCTCAATCTGTGAAGTGTTCGTTCAATTTCAGGATCAAGAGGAAGGAGATTGTTTGCGCTTCTACTCCTCCGCATTCAAGAGAAAAGCCTGTGTTAACACAAACAAGGTAAACTGAAAATTAAAACTTGAATAAATAACTAATAAAAGCTCAACTCAGTCAAGTAGCTAATTTCTAAGTCCCCGGCAACGGCGCCAAAAACTTGTTGCGACCAAACACTCATGCAAGTGCATGCGATCGTCAAGTAATAGAGTGGTGAGTAGAGTATCGTTCCCACGAATACTTATGACCAACTTTTGACTGATTCAAACTCAATTAACTTATCGATTCAAGAGATTTATCACGAATAGATAATTTAAGACTTTACTACCTAAAAATATCGAGTAATGAAATAACTAGACAAATCAACCAAACAAATAGCAATTTCGAATAACAATCAGTAGGAGAGAATATTTCAGGGTCACGGGTTAGCTAACCATCATGTTGCGTTCTTGGCTTAAAATAACTAATTGATTTATCTGGATTGTTGATTGACAGGGTTGATATTACTCATAAGAATCTGTCGAGTCCTTACTCGCCTATTCAAGTTAACTTAATGCCTATATGTCTATGGAATTAAGATTAGCAAGAATGCATTTACAATTCCTGTATTTCAACCAAGCAAGGCAATTAGGTATATGTCTATCCAAATTGCGAATCCGTTCCCCGATGCCCGGGTTCAACAACTTGCTCTATTTAATTCTATATGCAATCTAGAGTTCCCACTTTCGAGTTCAACTCTAAATTCGTAGATAGTATTTCACTGTTAGCTACTCAGCAAAATAACTAAAAGCAGAATTAAATAAACAACCCAATATGATAAAATCAACTTCGTCAAATTAAACTTCAAATAACAACTTTCATGTTTCAACCATGACCCTAGAACAATAGGGTTCTTAGCCACTCATGTTCATACAATCATCAAAAATAATATTTTCAAACATAAAATCAATGAGTACTAGAAAAGGGATGGAAGAATTGCTCAAATCCGTGCTCCCAAGTGTTTTGCTCCTTTTTTTTCTCTCCAAAATCATGTTCTTTCGTCCCAAATTGCATCCGAATGATTCCTACACATAGAAACACCATAATTTAGCACAAACCATCATATTAAACATCTGAAATCATTGAAACAAGAGCAAAATGCGAGGCGATATATATCAAAATATACATACTTTATGCCGATTATCACTGCCCATATCCAGCCCATAAATTCAAAGATTTCATGGGTTTTGAAAAAATATAGTGATACGTATCGAGCTCTATCAAGTCCATTTTGGCATAT